AATATCAATCAGGAGAAAAGTTATTGCAAAAATATATGTTGATCCCTAGACACTTTTGATGTGTGTACATAGCTTATTTTGTATCCAGCATATTAAAGAATATTTTTACAAAACGCGCAATGTAATTATGTCACTTGCATTAATGTTTTTATACGTCAATGGTCGTTTGTGCTAGAATGTATTAGAATGAATGTATTAGTATTAGAATCTGCCAATGGAAGCCGGTGGGAATCGTGTTCTAAGGAGGCTTCGCCACTGCTGCACTCTGCCGTTTTCATGCGTGCAATCTTTGATTGATGGAGAACTGTATTTATCAAAAAAACCATATGAATGTCAGAGGTTTTTGTGTTAAATTATTTGATAGAAATCTAGTAAAGCTTTTAGGGAAGGATGCACCGATGGTATGCATGAAATAGAAACTATCTAAAGTATCAACTGCAACTTACGGGTATCAACCGAATCAACTTTAGAGATTTTTACTGTTAACATGTTTCTAAAATTAATGCTTCTTGGTTTTCTTTGATAAAACTGTTATGATTCGATGTTTCTTTGCATTTTCATTTGTAAGTAAATAGTGGCTAGCCGAACACGAATTGCGAAACCACATTTCAATTTGCAACCGTTTCCGTTGCAAGTTATGTTACCAATTTTCACGAGTGCAAATGTTTATTGCTGACAAAACTGAATGACGATGGCAAATGATTTATTGTTTCACAGCGTTTTACTCTTCTTCTGCCTTAAATAATGGCAGAATTGTGAGTTTCCTTAATTTCCCTAATTTATTAAAATATTTTTGTACAAAGTAATATAATAGTGAATCGGAATAGCATTGTCACGAATTTCCTTCTAAAAATTATTAGCTATTATTAAAGCTTAAGTACAGCCCTTGGATTTTATGAACCATTTACTTAGATGCAGCACAAATGTAGAAGGCGCTCGTTGGGTTAATGCAGACAGGTTTTATAATTACTAATACAATACAAATCAATAATACCTTTAATTTCAGAGTAACTATTATGAATTTTTCTCAATGAAATACCTACATTAAAAGTTTAGAAAAATTAAAATCACCACCCACAACTTCGCATAATACCTCTTCAATCAGACACTTGATTTGTTGTGTAAAAAAAAACAAATTGACATCGACCGATTTCTGGGAAGTGATTTCGATTTGGGTTTGCAACGAGATATCGAGAAATCTATTCATGGATATCACACCCAAAATATCGACATCTGGATGAGTTAATTTAAAAATATTCTTTTTATTATAAATACAAAGATGTCATGTGCAAATCAAACAGGTCTTTTATCAGGTGTGTATAATCAAGTGGCAACAGTACCTTGTTTTAGTGGAAGCAGAGTTCATAAATTCGAAGAGTCATTCTTCGAACACATCGAAAAAAAAGGATAATTAACACTACAGGAAACCATCAATCAAATAATATCGATACTAACCAGTGTACTGGAGGATCTACATAGCACTTTGAGAAAAGACCAAGGGAAACTGAAGATGGGGACAACACAATGGCGAAGTATTGAGAGCCTTCAGTTAGGAATACCTGGGGAACCCATAGACATAACTATTGAAGGAACTGGGAAGATGTTTTTGGGTAAAAATTAACAAATTTTTCTGTAATCGTGTTTTAGTGTATTAATGTATAAGCTGGTCTTGCTATCTAAATCTGCAAATTATGTAATAATATAACTGTTGTGTCAAACTAACAGAGCTCTAAAAAATTATATATGAAAATAAAACGTTTTAAAGCGGACACTAAAATTTTAATTGTTTGCTTTTTTGGCGGGATCTAGAGATAATTGGGTAGTCGATTTTTGACCGACTCAGCAACCCAATGACTTCCTACATTTCTATGAAAATAATAATTATTCTACGCAAAACAAGGTTGTAGGTGAATTGCCTTTGTTTAGGCAATTTATTACAAAACTTTAGTGTACAAAAGACAGCTACAAAGGATACTAAAAGTATCGATAAAATTGCATCTCTATTAACTAGTGATATGAAAAGAGGTATTGAAAATATCGATAATATTGCGTTATCATGGTCGATTCGATATAGCGCATAATAATAGGTTGGGGAAAAAGTCTAACCATTTTAGTATATATGAACTTGTAATAAAATCTCTTTGCCGTTTGTATCTAGCTGATTTTGGTATCATTAAAAAAGTTTAAATTTAAAAAAAGATAATTCCAATTTCAAATCATCATTCATTCAGTCAAAGGCCGGCCACGCTTCACAGACTCTGGCGAAACCCGGGTTAACCCGTTAGGTGGGATTGGAAGGGCATTATTTAATATGTGCTGTTACCGCCAGGCAGGACCATCGATTCTGAACTCTACTGCGAACTACTGATGAGATTAAAAAGCAAGATGTTGAGAGAAAGCGGCAGGAATAAATCAACAGAAGGGGTGTGGTATTTCATCATGATAAAGCTAGACCACACACTTTTAGCCATTCAGCAATAACACTGGTTAACAAATTTTAAGGTTTTGTTAATCCATGAAATGAGTTGTGCTAATTGCGAAAGAATACCTCTAAACATACATTTTGATGTAAGTTTTAAGGTCGAGTTAGCTCGCGTTTTTTGTGGAATCAAATAAAAATCTTTTGACTTAAGATAACATTTTATTCATAAATCACGTATTATAAAATTTAAAAATGAGTTAATTGATTGCTTTTCCGTTTATAAATAATATCTACAGCCTCTCTCTTCAATGTCCAGCAGTAGTCTGCTAACATAGCAGGACTCCATTTGCCCTGGTATCGCTGTTCCATGCCTGAAATATCCTGGTGAAAACGTTCACCATGTTCGTCGCTAACATCTCCCATATTTTCAGGACAAAAATCCAAATGTGGACATTTTGCAACCGAGAGCGTACACTGCTTGGATCATATTCTTAACCAGGTTTTCATAGTCTTCAGATTTTTTTTTACCCAAGAAATTTTGAAAAACTTTTATCATGGATGTCCAGGCCTGTTTTTCCTTGCTTTTCAATGTGCTTTCAAAAGTTTTGTCATTCATTAATTCTTTTATTTGAGGTCCTATGAAAATTCCTTCTTTTAACTAGGCATCTGTCATTTTTGTAAACTTTTTTTTTAAATATTGAAAAGCTTGACCTTCGCGATTCCGTGCTTTTACGAAGTTTTTCATCAATCCTAATTTTATATGCAGAGGTGGTATAATAATATTTTCTTTTTGCACTAAAGGTGGATAAAAAACATTTTCAGTTCCTGGTGTAAAAGCTTTTCGTAACGGCCACACTTTTTTTATGTAATGGTTTTTCCTGTCGCGACTGTCCCAAAGACACAAGAAACAGCAATACTTTGTGTAACCCTGTTGCATGCCTAAAATGATTGCAATCACTTTAAAGTCTGCACATATTTTCCAAGAATATCTTTCATATTTTATTATTTGTAATAGATGTTTAATATTTTCATAGGTTTCCTTTAAAGATACAGCATAACCGACAGGAATAGAAGGATACGTGTTACCGTTGTGCAATAATACAGCTTTTAAACTGGTTTTAGACGAGTCTATGAATAATCTCCAAGCATTTGGTTCAAGCTCCATTCCGAAAGCTTCGAACAGCGCATCAATATCGTTGCAGTAAACAAGATGATTCTTATCGTCCATACTAAAAAAAGCTACAAGATCATCGTGTCGGTTCCGAAAAACAGTAATTTTTGTTCCCTTCGCCAAGAGATTCCATTGCTGGAGACGCGAACCAAGAAGTTCAGCTTGTGATTTTGATAAACTTAGGTCTCGTACTAGATCATTTAATTCTGGTTGAGTTACAAGATGGGGTTGCAGTAGCTGGCTGTGAGGACTAAAATCAGGATCCGTAAGATCGTCTTCTTCAGTGCTAAGCTGGTCAATTTCTTCAGAAGCATTCATTGGTGGCGCCGGAACGGGGTGATTTTCATCATGCGGGCGAGGTCTTTGAGCAGATGGCGTTTCAATATAACTATGTTTTATTTTTTTGCGCGTATTAAGCCCTTCTGTCTTATTTATGCAAAAATAACAATCTCCAATGTGATCCTTTTGTTCTTTCCACAGCATCGGTGTTGCGAAAGGCAAACATGATCGGCGGCCGGATAGCCAATCTCGCAAGTATTTACCACAACTCGAGCATATTACATGCGGAACCCAGGGCTTGTCTTGATTTTTCACTGGTATTCCGAAATAAAGTTCGTAAGCACGACAGATTCTGGGACTGAAGTTTTAGCTCGTATTTTTTGTAGTGAATTTACCACACACGTAACAAAAATTGTTGGGATTGCTTTCACAGGAACGAGGCATATCAAAAATATAAATTCACAAAGTTTTAGTTCAAACTTCACAACAAAAACTAAAAACAAAATTTGTTTGATACACTTAAAACGTTGCTGTATGTTACAGTGCTATTACAACGTCATACACTAATTGTATTTTCACGGTGTTTGATAGCGAATGCCAGCGCAATCCTAACGTTCTTTATGATGTATTAAATCTAGTAAAGTAAAGCCGTGCTATAATAAGGAACAAGTCGAAACTTGTGAGAGTGCGGCGAACGCAATACAAGATTAAACTTGCATAGCTCGATAACTCGAGCTAAGACACTTGTAATATTATAATTGATGATTAGTATTTACCAAGTACTGCCTATTTTTGTATTTCATCATTCATGGGCAAAACCATTGTTAACCAGTGTAATTAGAAGTTTGACTAGAAGTTGTTAATGCATCCTCCGTAATAGCCTGTCCAACAATCTTGTATTATGTTATGATGCTTTGTGTTGTGTTCATATTTTTGGCAAACATTCTTACATTTAAAGTAGCTCAACGAGGATGGCGGCACTTTTCATATTTGACTTTTAGCTGCATTGAAAGACTTCGAATAGCTCTTAATTAAATGCTGTCACTTACTTGCGATTGAAATAATACAAGAGGCCACGTCACGTCGTGAGTGCTAAACTATGAACATAAACTTGAAATAAAAACACATTTATGTTTAAAAAAAACTTTATTATGATAACGTATTTATTACATAATAGATCTGCATTAAATTGATTTTTGGGAATAGATCAAAGGATTTGTTATATGATTTGTCTATACCTGATTTGTACTGTAAGTATATAATCAAGAACGAGACCTACATGATATTTAATACGAAACTGTATAAAAAAAATCTAATTCCATAGAAGATAACGTATTTAAAATCTTAATTGTTATTATAATAAAAATTGAACATACTTTTTCTCTCAGATAACTTATTCTAATTATACAAAATATATTATATTTACTTATTAAATACCTTCTTTATTTATTTAATGTTTTAAAAAACTTTATTAAGGAGAAACTTTCCGATGTTTTTTTTACTAACAAAACAAGTTCAAACAGTTCATTATTTGTTTTTTTTAAATATCTTTGCTGTCATCCGGATGATGCCCGCTAATGTACGACGAAATACGTAGCTGTGTTAGGTTTCGATGAAGCCATCAAACTTCTTTCCAAGTATAGAGAGAGGGATAATAGAGGACTTACGTAGGGGGATTGAAAAGTTCAGACTCAAAACAAAGTATCTGTTTCAATAACTTTTTTTTTTATTTGTATATCTCCTTTTGTATCGCATACTTTTTGGTTATCACGGTAAAAAATAAGTTTCAGTTATGACACTTAAGTTAGAGTGAATAAAGTGAAACACCTAGGATTACCTAGAAGGAAAGTGTCGTTTCATCAGGATAATCGCGTTCACATGTTTGTTAAATCAATGGATCAAATTCGGGATTTTCACATGTTTTCAAAATAAAAATAAAAGTCATCTTGTGGTCTGAAGGAGGATCCATTCTTTTCTGCCAAGTCCTAAACAACTCTGCCCAATCTTGTTCCTAAAGTATTATCATCCATTTATGTGCAGAGACATACGCCTAATTTATAAAAAATATAAATGTAATTTATTCACTTGTACCACATAAAAATGTTTAAACATTAAAATTAATGGTTTCCAAAATACCTAATATATTATGTTAATGTGTATCGTTTTAATTGAAACAAATTACGAAAATCTTCTATTGGCAGTATTTACTGTCAGACACTTTAAATATCAAAAGCAAGTCGAAGGAACCTCGACCTCACTTCAAACACACCGCGGAACTTTGAACTAACTCGTGACAACGTGACATAATGTCACAATTTTTCTTGCATGGAGCCGGTGTTTATCGATTTATCGATGATTGATTGATTTATCGTCACAAAAAATATTTAATTATTGATAGAGGCTTCTTTTACACTATTTTAAAGATACCTTTGATGAAGCTGTATTAAAAAGGCACATAATTACCATGAACGCCCCTTTATCACGAGGTCCTTTAAATAAGCTTAGGGAATTTTTGGCCCCGACTTAGTCTGGCAGTTATAAAATATAATAATAGTCCCCCATAATATCATAGATAAATAGCAGGTCTTAGACTGAACAAATAAGTTTGTGTTCTTTGCTTTCATCATTAAAAATGTCTGGTAATAAATAGTGCTGAGAGAATGCGTCTGGCAGTATTCCTTTCAAAATCTTTACAATATTTTCTACAACATACCTGTCTGATTCTTAGAATCAGACCTGTAACTTTTTTTGCAAAGTGAGTAAAATTTTAACGTACTTCTTTGTGTTTGTTGTGATACCTAATAATTGGCCCACAGCACAAGTTAGCGAGTGTGTATACGTTAATTGTACACAGTAATACTACTCGATTATTTATATTTTGTCATTCAGAAAATAAAGGTCTGGCGGCCCTGGAATCTGAAGTCTTTATATTATTATTTGGTTATTCAGTTAGCGACACCATTTCAACGTCAATAAAGATATTGTCGCTTTTATCTTGCTAATATTGTTTTAATACACGATTATTATATTATTGTCGTTTTGTTTGCATTCTTTCCATTTAAATTTGTAAAGTTTTGTAAACGTTGTAGTATTTATTGAAATAGGATTGAAGATATATCACCATGATTTGAATATACCGCCTTCCTCCCTGGGATCTTGAAGGAGGATTTGTACCTGATTCCATAATTAGAACCCAATAACTCAATACAACAGCTATTATGAAAATTTGGAATGAACGACTGCATTTGAGTAAAGCTCCTTCAATGCATAACTTTTAATTTTTAAAAGAGAATAACAGAATGTTTAAATCTATTACAGGAATACCCACGCCCTATCATCATAGCTTTTGCAACCAATTATTTAGAGAGATTTTATTTAGATACCTAAATCACAATGACAAATTGTCAAAAGAGTTTTTGATATCTTTAAAATGGCCTGCGCAGATGATGGACTTTTGTCCGCGTATCGGACTCACGGACTCAACGCAAACGGTGTGCGTTGCGCAATGGTGCACATTTGTTGTTCGGAAATTTAGTGAAACGTACGCAAAACAATGTTTTACGATATTTCTGACAGATAATTAAATATTGTTTAAGCGTAAAGCGATGCAAAATATACTAAAAACTTGCTTGGAGTTGATTCAATCACCGAAATCACTTAAAATAGTAGGCTCAAAAGACATGAAGCCAGGCCCCAATAAAAAAGTGATTACAAAATTTTTAGTTTATATTTTAGACTTAGATAACCCTCCACAGTTATTTGATAAATCATTGAAGATTATTTTATTTTCATTTCTGATGATGATATCTATAAACGTTAAAGAATTTCTTCTACAAATATATCGCCATTGTCTTTTCGATCGTCATACTCTTTTTGTGATGATCATGTGAAGGAGTTCTTTTTTCCACTTCTTTGTGCTATTGTGCATACATAGGAACATCAATATGGCGGACGCGGACTAAATGTCCGCTGTGTACGTTGCCGCCTCCTGTCACATATGCTTTATTTTTTCGCGGACTCTCGCGTAATTCTGTCCTGGCCTGTCCCTCGATTTAAGTCCGTCATGTGCGTTACTCGTTGCAATTGTAAGCAATCTATTATGGTGGACAGAAGTCCCTTGCCTGCAGGCTATTACTATGTTCGATAGTTTACTATCTAACACTTTTGGAATCTTTAACGTGGTTCGTGTCTGTAGTTATTTATGCACGGAGTTATCCCTCAGTTGTTTTTTATTTTCACTTTTAATCCAATGCAAGAAACTTGGTCATTTAGTAATTTGTGGACGCTAAATTCGAATCTGGGGTCAGTTTTGGGATTGCGGTCAGGGTTACGTTATATTATGTACAGGATATGCCAGTGTCAACGAGATATTGGTGTTGATGTCAAAGCCGCGTTCCACCTAAGCACTTGTCAACATTCACTATGACAGTAAATTTTTACCAACAATGTATGAAATATAATGTTTGTTTAGTACAAGATCACAAGACCGCCAGACGTTACTTATTTTCTCATGGACACAATAATGATAATCGAGTTGTATTAGTGTGTACCTACAATGAAGGCGGTCTTGGGATCTTACTCTATTTGATTGATGTAGGTTCCAACTTCCATTGGAACGCAAAATGCAGTGAAGGCATGGAACGCAAAATGTCATTGATCTTGTTTACAGGTTTCTATGTATGTATGTTTGTTCGGGTGGAATCTTGCAACTCAATCTTGAAGCAGATATCTTCATTCGATTGAGTTAAAATTTCTTACACATCTTTAGTTTGGATGACAATGCATGGTTAGCTGTGTGACGTCATTCTAAATAGAAGAAAAATAAAAGTTAGCGGACTCGTTTTTTTAGACGCACACCTACAATATAGATATCAAATGAAAGGGCTTGCTGAAAATAACTCGAAAAATATAGTAACCTCACCTAAAATCCAATATGGCGGACTTAAAAACATAGCGGACTAAGTTTTTTATACTTTACTACAATATGGGAATCAAATGTTAAGGCTTGCTGAGAATATGAGGTTTTTGAAGTCTTTGATTATGCCCAGTGATAACTAAAAAGTAAAAAACTTATTCAAATGCGCTGAAAATAATAAAATGAAAGGTTCCTTTAAAACTTATAGTATCAACTCCTAACGTCATTACACAATTCATATATTATAAAAGCTTGTCGCCAGATTACCTGTCAGTTAACAAAATTTGATTTTATTTTTATTTTCAAACTAAATGAATATCAGTTTACCTACTCAAATCTGGCTGGGTTCCCTGGGAAGACATCAATCCCAAATCTTACCCCAGATTCGGATTTAGCGACCATACATTACTACATGACCAAGTTTCTAGGGTTGGGTCAGAAAAGTAAACAAAAATAATTGCGAACAACTGAGAAACATCTCCCTGCAGAAATACAGATAGAAACGAATTACGTTATAGATTCCAAAGGTGTATGATACTAAACAACACAATAGATCAATTTATTCAATTCCTTAGCCCATACCATTATCTTTCTTTCTTTAGAAAGGATTATTTTCTGAAAATTTATATGGATTTTTTTATTATAATAGCTACAATTCCAAATAATCAAATTTTCTTATTTGTGCTATTAAATGACAAAAAATTGCAAATAAAAAACGTACATATCGAAACTGGTTTCGTAGTTATATCGCGCTTAATTAATAAATATTTCTACATTTAAATTTGTTTCGTAAACGGCTCAGTGGATTGACAAGTCGACAAAGTAGGATATTATAGAATAGTTAAATAAATAGTCTATATCTATAAAATGGCGTCCTTGGGTGGCGGTTGTTCCGCGGGCGGCACCCCGGCGGCAGACATCTTGCGGCGTTCGTTGCGCACTCGCGACACTGGCCGGTAGTACTGCTCGCTGCGCCGTCGTCAGCGTTCAGGCGTCGGAGCTTCCGACTCCAACTCCATCCATAAGGAGCTGATCATGCGCGCCTCTGCACATAGAAATAAACTTCATTCAATAATACTTAAAGATTGCAGCCATATACATTAGGGTGTCCCAGACTATAAGAGAGAAATACTTTCTTTCGAATTTCAAAACGAATACCCTCTATATTTTTTTCATTAACTCCAAAAACTTAAATATAAAATATTATTGAGATCGGATAACGATAGCCCGTACCGACTTGACGTCAAGTTTTAGTTGAAAACTTAGTATGGAGCTTTAGGGACATTGTAGCCAATTCACTTCCCTTTCTATATCCTACCCACCAACTTTACAAATATTGTATTCTGTTCGCCAGCTTTTCATTATGCACACCATATTAAAGCAACACACCATTGCGCCTTTTGACTTTGCTATCACTAAAGCCACTATAGTCAAAGCCACTATATGCAGCCTATAGTCTGCATCTACACACTACACATGATTCAAAATACATATTTCCACATAGATTCTCTACTACTTTCCTAAGTCCTTTCTTATATAAAAAGTTAAAGAGTGTGTTATGTATTTATGCATTAAACTATTTTAACTGTAGAATTAAGTATTCCGAAGAAATAAACTAACATAACTCCATAATTTACATTTAATAACACAAAACGATTACTTTAAGTTCTGTTTTAATTAAGGAGTTAATTTATTAATCATAAAATGTATTATTTTAGATAATTAAAGCCTGAAATACAGGTAAGATTTATACTGTAACTTAGTTCAGACATCCTTTATTTTGTACTTTTTATTATTACTATTATGCAATGTTGACCTTTGAATAAAGAAATATTATTATTATAGTTTTTAACTTTTCTTCCTGATTTGCGCTTTAGCAGTAAATTTGTATACGGGAATATAATTCAGAGAATAGTTGGAGTCTAAGTTCCACGAAAATCCTACGAAATTCCCAGATCTTTCCAAAGAGGTATGTTTCTCGCTAATTATTTACGGTTCTGGAGCTTGTTGATAGTTGATCAATCGAGCTTCGATATGTTCCGTCATTATTTGCCATGCAGGATGACAGAGGAGCTGTTCAAGTTTTAGAAATGCAATACTATTGGCTGTATCAAAGTCACAGTCATCATCTGAGTTCCTTATGTGAACTTTCATTTGCCTCGATACAATCAAAAGTCTACAACGACTTCTCTCCCTGTCATGATTGACTTTTATTTTCGTAAAAAGCTTTGAAGAACTAATTTAGGATTTTAAAAATTTGAATGATCATCACCACCTTTACGAGTTTTTAAAAGATGTCGCACTGATATCAATTCGAGGGCTTTCAAGAGTGCAAGAAACCGGTGCCATTAGATGCTAAGAGGTTGCTAAACGACACTGTATCCACCAGAATGTTTCTGATTTTTCTTCTGCTGAAATGTGGAAGTCCCTTATTCCATTATCATCCATCCATCCCATATTTGCAAAACAGGAACTCAATTCTCATGTTCCTTTACTTTAAACGATCTTAACCGTCATTTTTCCTGTGTTAACAAACCAGAATCAAATTTCTAACCATTTCCAAACTTTTTTCCACGGCTACTCCTTTAAAAGACATTTTCTCTTTTAGACTGGGCGCAAATGTACGGTTTCCTGGTCAGGAATTCAGATTCGGAATTCCGTGAGCATAGCACAGACGTTTCGATTTTTTATTTAAAACTCAACAAAAAGAGTCTCTTTGTTATACGCGTTGCTGCCGAATGATTCCTAAGCTGCATACATTTGACTTTTAGCAATAATTTAATATTAGGTTTTTAGTATCCGTTATTATAAATGCGACAACAGAGTAGGTTTAATGAATGCTGCAAGATCCGTTTACCCGGAATTAAATGTAAGTGAATGCTACTACCACTATCAAAGAAATGTGTGAAAGAAAGCCCAAGAAATCAAAATAAACTAGTGAATATAGGCAAATTGTGAGAATAATTGCAACCCTACCTTAGTAAGGTATTACAGCTCTGGAATGTACTTATTCCAGAGAGGCGTCGATTGATTTTGGACTAAGAAAATGGAATCTGTTCATACTGATAAAATGCAAGAGTTTACTAATTATTAAAAGAGGCAATAGTCCCGTAGGAGTCCTTAAATTTGAAGTGTGCCAACAATGCATTATAAGGATAACATCACAGAATTAACTTGTTAATCCCAAAGCGACCATGCTTGTTCAATTTATCCAAAAATTACGTAAAGAAGCCCAGCACTGCAATATTAGGCTCCGTAATAGCCTATTCCATTCTATGCAAAAAATCGTCGCCGATATCGTGACATAAACTTAGTCAAAGATACATGAAAGACAAAAATTCAAAGCTATGAAAAATCGGTCGAAGATTTTTTTTAGGTAACAATTTACATACATGCTTCTGTAAATTTTATTTTCAATCGTTATTTACTTGCTATAATAAGTTTCATTCGTTGAGAAGATTGTTGTCTGTTAATTAATGCTTTTTTACTGGATTCACTGTTGTAATCATGTCAACAAAAAAATATTTTGACGTTAATTTGGTAATTGTGATTGTTTCGAAAAATATTAGTAATTTTAATACATTATACAAAAATTAAATACTAGTTATATCAATGAATACAATGATATATACATAGTTATATATACTATACAGCTATATATTTCGGATTCCATCCGGTTAAAAGAGGTGACCTTGCTATTTTATAACCATGTGGACAGCTGTTGCACACCAAATTTAGTTTAGGTTCATAAAAATGACGACTTGGTACGAACGCAATGTCATCGCCGGGTTTATAGATATATAAAACTGTGCCCTTGGGGTTTATCGGCTGAATTCTTCAAAGATTTACCTGGGAAAGGACATGGCTAAGAAACTGCCCTTAACGTGTATAAATACTTCGCACTAGCCCGTAACTACAATATTTTCTTATTAATTATTACGTGTTCATTTTTCACATAGAACTTTCGTGAAATAATCCTTTATTAAATAGTATAAAAATTGACTTCATGTCTGTTTCAAAAACAAAATGTTCTGTTTTACAAAATAAATGAACAATAAATGTACACAAAAAATATTTGTGTAAGTATATCGAAATAAACAATATTATTTTTAAACTCCTTTAAACTATAACATATTTGGCCCTAATTTTTATTATAACAAGTCACTGAAGTGCTTTAATAATAGCATTTATTATTCTGATCAGGCTTGAGACAAGGCTGTATGATACTTAATCCTTTAATTTTTGAAAATGGACTAAATAAAACTTCATAGTTTTCCTGTCAGGCCGACGATAACAAATTATTTGTATTTATTTTGGCTTTAATAAACTTTTTGTGAAGAGTTAATCAGAGAAATGGGAAGAAAGATTCTAAGAAAATGCGAAATTAATGACTCTGTAAATAATTGGCGACTTTTATCAACTGTAAGTAAGGTAATGACATAGTAGGAGTTTTCATAATTTTCAAGATTGTGACTATCAAAAGTTCCTGAGCCTTGTTTTATAGAAATTATAAATATTCAGCCATTTACCAGTAAATATTACTAAGTACAGTATTTATACAATGCCAGGGCAGTCGCTCATACAAAACTTTACCATGTCCTTTTACCAATAAATAAGAAGAAGTTAATCCGTATGCCAAATAAGATTCTGCTAAATAAAAAATAGAAACAATTAAATCTTCCTTTCAAAGAGTACAAAAAAAAACATCTAAAGAAGCTTAATGGTGCAAAAAGTTAGCGCGTTAGATTAGAACTGCGATCGAGGAAGCCACTTTCGCAATGGCCGGTTAAAACCAAAAAAATCTCCTCTGTGCTTCGGAAGGCACGTACGGACTTTGCTCCCAGTTGCTTCTGTAGTCCTTAGCACCCACCGATTCGCACTGGGCCCACGTGGTGAGGCCTTATCTCTCTATCCCATTAAAGATGAGTAGTATAGAGTTAAAGATTTTTTAAAGGTTAGGAGCTACGAGTATATTGTCGTGTGTATAGTGTACCGTTTCGTACGCGAGTTCGGAACACACTGAAGTTGTGGCTGTGTTTACAACCATGTAGCTACATTGCTTGCAAAAAAGGACAAAGCAAAGTCATCTGGTTTACAACGGGGTTTACCACCATGTTGCACACGTTTGAAAGTGACATTTTTCAATATGTCCCACTAGTCCCATGGGATAACTGATTCCGATATAACTTTTTTGAATTATGCCCCATTAATTCCATTGGATAGCAAGTACTGATTGACACACATGATTGTGACGGTAAATCAGCCCGCTGGGTACGTGCATCAGATGAAAGTGAATTATTCAATTTGACTTCACACTTACCCGAAATCTTTTCTTTTAGTTTTTGTAGCATCGCCTATTATTGGTGTGAGTGTTGGAAATATTTTTTATATATTTATTTCATAGGTATTATTATGAGCAAATAATAATATAATACTTCCGCCTTTGTTACTTTTGTATTCATTTAGCGGTAGCAACCTTCAAAAGCATTTCTCGTACGGTGGCTCTCTGCGTACACAGACCTTACTCGCTGCCAGTTTAGCCATTGTTAAAACATGTATTACTGAAATTTAATTCTATTTTGACCATGGGCAACGGGAGTAGCGGGAGTTCACTACCAGTATCAATTGCCCCATGGGGCAATGGTACTTAAAAAAATATATCAGTATCAGTTGTCCAATAGTACTACTGGTACATAATTTAAAAATATACTAGGCTTTTTCTTGGTTCATTCCATATCTTTGGGGTCGCTCGCAGTGTGTTAGCCTTGATGATTATATCTCTGATGGGTGTGAACTCAGTATCGGCGTAACTTAAAGAAGTGTTATCTCGCCACTATATTCCTCATTTGTATCAACTCCGTTGCTAGAGTCATTTTCTCCAAGATTTATCTCTATATCCGATCATGCATTAATAACAGCTATATATTAATACACATGAAACTGAAACTAGCAGCCGACATTCTCTTGAGACAAAATTTTTTTTTTTCAACTAAAGTATTAGTGTATCTTGGCTGAAATTACACCCACTATTTCTTCACCCTAAAA